TTACTACTATAAACTTACTACTACTTACTTACATACTTCTAATAATACTATACTACTTACCACCCCACACCCACTACTTTACTACTACTACTACTACTACTACGACTACTACTACTACTCTACTATTAGACTACTACTACTACGACTACGACTACGACTACGACTACGACTACGACTACGACTACGACTACGACTACGACTACTACTACTACTACTACTACTACTACTACTACTACTACCACTACCACTGCCACTACCACGACCACTACCACTACCACTACCACTACCACTACCACTACTACTACTACTACTACTACTACTACTACTACTACTACTACTACTACTACTACGACTACTACTACTACTACTACAGAAAATAATAATTACTCCGACGGTAGGACCCCGCATGATAATATGTTTAGCTTGCCTCGGGATCACTCCTGCCTCATCCTTCTCCTCCTGCCTGATCCTGCCTGCTCCTCCTCCTGCCTCAACCCCTGCCTCCTCCTCCTCTTGCCTCCTCCACGACCTCCTCCTCCTTTTCCTCCTCCTCGTTATGCCTACTCCCCCCATTCCCCCTGTTCCTCCTGCCTCCTGCGTCCTCCTCCTCCTGCTTTCCCTCTCCCTCCTCCTCCTCTTCCTCCTTCTCCTCCTTTTCCTCCTCCCCTCTCCCGCCTCCTCTTCTCCCTCTCCCTCCTCCGCCTACTCCTCCTCGACTCCATCTTCCTCCTCCTCCTCCTCTCCCTCCTCCTCCTGCCTCCTCCTTGGCCTCCTGCCTCCTCCTGGGGCCTCTTGGGGCCTCCTGGAGCCTTCTGGGCCTCCCGGGACATCCTGGGGCCTCCTAAGGCACTCCTCTTCCTCCTTGTCCTCCTCGTCCTTCTCGCCCTCTGCCTCCTCCTCCTCTTCCTCCTTCTCTTTCTCGTCCTGCATCCTCCTCTTCTTCGTCCTCCTCCTCCTCCTCCTCCTCCTCCTCCTCCTCTTCTCGTGCGGGACACGACCCAGAGGAAACGCACGACGTGCGTCCCAAGAGATACACGCGGGAGACCCAGGGGAAGCGCGCGCTGGAGGACGTCCTAGAGTACGACCCGGAGGAAGCAGGGGAGGTGCGGGCCCCATAGGGAGGGTGCTCCCGCCTGAGACTTCCTCGCAATTCACTCACAAACGAATGAATTGCGAGGAAGTCTCAGGGCCCCATAAGGGTGCTCCCGCCTGAGACGTCCTCACAGTTCACTCAGAGACGAGGCTCCCGCCTGATACTCTCCCCAAATTCAAGCCTCAAGAGCCCAAAATTGACGACAATTACACGGGTGAGGATGACCCGCTCGGATTACCAACATGAAATGCGGGCCCCATACGGAGGGGGCTCCCGCTTGAGACTACCTCACAATTCACTCACAGACGAGGCCCCCGCCTGATACTTCCATATTCAGGCCTGAGGAGCGCAAAAGTGACGACAGTTACACGGGTGAGGATGACCCGCTCGGATTAAAAACATAAAATGCGGGCCCCATAGGGAGGGGGCTCCCGCCTGAGATTTCCCCACAGTTCACTCACAGACGAGGCTCCCCGCCTGATAATTCCCCCATATTCAGACCTCATGAGCCCAAACATGACGACAAATACAGGGGTGAGGATGACCCGCTCGGATTGAAAACATGAAGTGCGGGCCCCATCGGGAGGGGGCTCCCGCCTGAGACTTCCTCATAGTTTACTCACAGACGAGGCTCCCGCCTGATACATTCCCTATATTCAAGCCTCAGGAACCCAGAAGTGACGACAATTACAGGGGTGAGGATGACCCGCTCGGATTGAAAACATGAAGTGCGGGCCCCATCGGGAGGGGGACTCCAGCCTGAGACTTCCTAGCAATTCACTCACAGACGAGCCTCCCGGTTGATACTTCCACCGTATTCAAACCTCAGTCGCCCACAATTGACGACAATTACACGGGTGAGGATGACCCGCTCGGATTACCAACATAGAGTGCGGGCCCCATAGGGAAGGGGCTCCCGCCTGAGACTTCCTCGCAATTCACTCACAGAGGAGGCTCCCGCCTGAGACTTTCTCCAAAGTCAGGCCTCAGAGATCCTGCGCGGGGTGTCCAGAGAAAATGATGCTGAGTGATGAGAGAAAGTGTGTGTGTGTGTGATGTGCGACTGAATATGATGATGATGGCGGTGGTGGTGATGCTGCTGCTGCTGCTGCTGATGATGATGATCGATGGTGACGGTGATCGATGGTGACTGACTGAGAATGATGATGATGATGATGATGATGATGATGATGATGATGATGGTGGTGGTGGTGATGATGATGACCGATGGTGATGATGACCGATGACGGGGTGAATGCGTGAGTGAGGCGGAGAGTGGGAGGGAGGTGAGGTTCCTGCGCGGAGGGTGACCAGAGAAAACAATAATCCCACTTGGGATGTGGGAATGGTAATACGAATGATTCTAACATTAACTTTAATAGCATTGATAACAATAGTGATACGAAAACACATGACAATTTATACTTGCGATCTGAATGCTGATACAAATACTAATCAAACCACAAATCAGAAGAACAAAAGAAACATGAGAAGAGGGGGCCATGAAATCTGGGGAGCTGTCATGACCCCGGCCATGATATCCACCCCTAGCCATCACCCCCATCGCGGACTCCCCCAATCGTCCTCGCAGTCGTCGTCGCCGTCGCCATCTGGGCGGAGGGCGCGCGCGGCGGTCGATGGCGCTCGTGCGGGGACCGACGGCGGGGATGACTCCTTGCACCCGTGAAGCAAAAACGAACACTGTTATGGGCACATGTTGCAGATGGGTTGGGCACGTCGCCAAAGTAGTCCCAAACCTCCTGGACTGCAAGACGAAAGACCTCCTGCGGATATTGTGCTCTCGTTGTGAATAGATAGAGGGCCTTCCAAATGGGGTCCGAGTAGATGGGGTCGGGGGATCGCGCCGCATCGACGATGCATCGGTGATGCATCGGCAACGTCTGCGGTGCATCGGCGACGTCGGTGTGGAGAAAATCTGGCCCCACATCGAGCCGCATCGCGAATGCATCGGCCATGCAGCGCGATCCTCCGACCCCATCTACTCTGACCCCATCTCGGAGGCCTGGAATCGGTCGCAGCCGCTTTCTCCTTCCTGCCCCGGACCCGAGCGAAGGACGAAGAGCTTCGGCCTCGACTGCCTCAGGGCCTTGACCCTCGGTCGGGCATGCACTCCCACGGGCGGATATTGGGCGAAGGATGAAGAATGCCCGAACAGTACCCCCCGACAACAAATCCAGAGCAGTCGACACATCGTCCCCAGACCATTGCTGGACTATGTGTTGAAGATTCCTCCTCAGCGCTTGGTGGCCCCATAGGGAGCTCCTGCGAAGGCCCGATTGGCGACGTCCGCATGCGTCAGCCCCGCCAAGCACAGCGTTTCGTGACCCTTCAAGGAGCTCCTCCGAAGGCCCCAGTGGCGACGTTCGCATGCGTCCGCCCCACCTAGTACAGCGTTTCGTTGTTGAAGGGGCCCTGGGACACACAAATAAATACACACAAATAAGAAGATCCCTCATATTTTTTCAATATTTTCTGGGTTTTGTCTTCCCCCCCACACTTCCCATGTTTCCCTATATTTTTTTTGGGGAATCGAAGCTTAATTGTGTCTGTGTGTTTTCTCCACTCCTGAGTTGTCTCATACGGACCTCCACCGAAGGCCCCTGTAGCGACGTTCGCACACCCATCAGAGAATGAATGTTTACACGGGGTTTTCGCCATTGGATTTTGGAGTTCAACCTCGCTCCCCGTTGTATAAAACCTATCAGCGGCATGCCGCCGCCGCCGCGCGCGCTGGCGCTTGGCAGTTTTGCATTCAGCGTCGTATATCCACATGGGGATGTTCCCGTCTTCCGATCGTATAAGGCAGGTTCGTGTCGTGCCGACCCCCGTGTTGGTTTTTGACACCGCAGGGATCGTTCAACCTTGAACGATCGGCCGCTGCCGCAACGTCCGATCGTTCAACATCGACCGATTCTGGGCCGCCGCCGGCGTTCAACCTTGAACGCCCGCGGCGGGGTCGCCGCCGGTCGACACGACGCGAACCTACGGGGATGTTCCCGTCTTCCGATCGTATACGTTCTGGACGTCTTGGACGTCCGGGGGGGCAGGGCCCCGGCAGCCTGCCGCAGCATGCCCGCCGGCGGCGGCGCGGGCCGCCCCCCCGCGCCCCGCACCTTCCGGGGGGCCTGCCGTCGGCCCAGGCCACCGCTCGGACGTCCCGTGCTTCGTGCCTCCTCCTCGTCGTCTTCCTCGTCGTCCTCCTCGTCGTCCTCCTCCTCCTCTCCTCCTCCTCCTTTCCTCCTCCTCCTCCTCCTCCTCACTCTCCTCCTCCTCCTCCTCCTCCTCCCTCCCCTCCTCCTCCTCCTCCAACTCCTCCTCCTCCTCCTCCTCCCTCCTCTCCTCCTCCTCCTCCTCCTCCTCCTCCTCCTCCTCCTCCTTCTCTTCGTGCGCGCGCGCTTCGTGCTCGCTTCCCGAGGTGGCCCAAGACGCTCCAAGGCTTTTCTGTTGTGCTGCCTCTCCTCCCATCCGCTCCCCAGCCCGCGGGGCCACCTGCGTTACCAATCGATCCTCAGACGTGCACCGCGACAGGGGCGTCAGACCACGCGCAGAGCAGGCCACGACTCCGCTGGCCTGTGGACGCACGCAGGACGGCATGACCGACGACGGCCCCAAACGCTTCCAAGATGCACCAGATCTCGCCGGCGCTGGCCGCGCCGAGAAGCACGCGCAGGCCCGAGCGATGCCAAGTTGGCCGGCGGTCGAGAAGGGGGGGGGGGGCCTGCAGGACCTGCCCCCGCCGCGCCCTCCCCTCCCCGCGCCGTCCTCCCTCCCTCCTCTGGGCCAGGTTCGCGCTGGGCATCGCTCGGACGTCCATTTCCTGTGTTTTTTGCCGGTTTCGTGCGTGTTTTTGCTCGCCAGATGGTCGAGGATGCTCCTCGAAGGTCCT